AACGGTTTTTGATATAATTGAAAAAAAAAAACTGAAGAAGCACACTTCCTAATCCGAATCCGACCTAAAGGAATCAACACTGATATTTTTATATAAAAAATTGTATCTCGTGAACTGAAAACGCTAAAACAAATATTTGTACATGTAATTTGTTTAAAATTTTAATATCTATAAATTGTGCAAATGTGAAAATACATTTTATATATTCCCAACGATTTTTAATTTAATTAATAAAAACTGTACAAACGCACTTGCACGTAGAAATCCGACTTAGATGAACCAAATAATAAATTTATTTTCAAAAAATTGTATCTCGTAAACTAATAACGCTGAAGCAAAAGTTTGTATGAAAAATATGTTCAAAATTTTATTATCTATAACTTTTGCGAATACAGTTTTCATGAATTCCCAACGAATTTTATTTTAATTAAAAAAAACTGTAAGGGTACATAAATGCAATCTAGAATTCTATTATCATAACATTCTTCCTTGCTTGTTTACATGAAAAATACGCCTGATCTCTCGACTATAGATTGAGATTTTTTTAGAGTTTAGTAACAAGAAATGCTATTTTATGAGAACAGAATTGCCCCAAAATCCTCATTTTTTTGTTTATATTATTATTGGTTACGTAACTATTAATCTTACCGGTTTTAGCACTTTGACGATAAAGTATGTTTTGATACCAGCCATCCTTAGGGCTTCTTCTCGTTTTTCACCATGGGCTGGTTCGACATCAAATTCACCATCCAAAAAACTCAGAGTTTGGTGGGAAATATGGACACGCCTTAGGAAAAAAACAGATAAATAAATATCTTTGGCAAAAAAATATTCCTGGTAAAAGGTCTGTGCCAGGCAAAAATTTGGAAAACAAGTCTGTTTAAAGTGGCACAAAGGGGTGCAAATTTGCAAAACAAGTTGGTTCAAAGTGGTGCAAAGTGGTACAAAGTGATAGTAGTCCCTTACCCAGCCATTCCTGAACTTTCCATCTTATTAGCCAACTCTACATCCTTAGAATAAACATCAAATTGCCACTGACGTTGACCAAGAACTCCTGCTAAAACTGCACCTGTATGAATTCCTACACGCATATCCACAGGTGAATTTGTTGTTTGTTGGACGTACCTGGCAAAAAAATCACATTTACCCATTTCTCAATATACAAACATCTATCTTTTATCATTTACTTGATGGCTTTAACCATAGATAACCCCATATGCACACACAAAACAGCATGATCAGGCCTTTCTACAGGAGCTCCACTTATGCAATAGTAACAGTCGCCCAGGATTTTGATTCGCAATTGTTGATATTTCTGGTAAAAATGATAAATTTATTGATGGTTATAGAGGGATGTGGATAAATTGTGGTTACCTCTGCCAGTCTGTCGAATCTTGCAAACAGTTCGTTCAAAATCTTTACCAGATCTTGGGCTGAATAGGTGGAGGAGATTGCTGTAAAGCCTACGATGTCGGCATACAAAATACTAGAAAAAAAAGTAGAACCATAATTTTTTAGTCAATTTACAGCCCAAAAAATATTTACCTGACATTTTCGTGTCTACTCATGTAGATTTTTTTAAATTGGCTGTCTGTAGAACCAAGATCCTGCCTCATTTTAACAGCAACGTGCTCTGGTAAAACTGATAGCAGAAGTCGTTCCTAAAATTTTCCAAAAAAATTACCACAAAATTTAAAATAGTTGTCCAATAAATTGCACGAGTTTTTAAATTTCCATTCCAAAAAAATCAAAAAATTTCCCAGGCTAAGCACAGTCTAAGCGCCACTCTGGTACAAATGTTTACCCGAGTGCGTTTAGGCTGTTTATGTACAGGAGCACTTTTCCAATTTTGTGAGAAAACTATTGAAAAATGCGAAAATGCCGCCAAACTGAGCACAGAGTAAGTGAACATGTCGCACAGAATTATTTACAAATGCGTTTAGACTGTGACTGTACGGGAGCACTTTTTCAATTTTGTGTAAATTAGGCAACTATTTTTTTTAAATTGAATTTGAAATAAAATGAGGGTTGTTAAGGGATAAATTGATTTATGATTAACATTTGATTTTCCATCCAAAATGGACCAGAAAATGTAGAATTATGCCTTGCAGATTTTGATTAATTTTTGATAATTAAACTACTATCCGTAGAACTCTATTTTTACAAAATTACTTGTAGAAGTCTACAAGTAATTTTCTAATAATCACAAAATGAACCTAGAATTTTTATAAACTAATAAACTAAATTAAGGGTTTTTATCCAAAGTTGACTATAAAGAGCCACGTTATACTAGCAAATTATTAATTAGAAAATTTTGAATAATTTTATAATCAAACTACTTTTCCTAGGCCTATATTTTTTACAGGATAATTTACAAATGCCCAATTCACGTCTACACAACATTTCATCAACAGTTGTTAAAAAATAAACCAGAAATTTGAACTAAAAGTTTCTAAACGTTCATTATAAAGCTTTAATACTACTTCAAGCTGACTATTTGTAAGTATTTTTTATAACTAAAATACTTTTTGTAGGCTTCTAATATTTTACACAAATTTACTAGAATGCTTATTGGAAGTCTTCTGAAAGTTTTTTAAAATAACTTGGTAAATAAACTAAGATATAAGGAATTTATCAAAAATTGACTAAAGGGACTAGTAATATCAACAAAGCCAAGCGTTAATATATTATTATAAATTAGTCCTTTTTTACAAGCCTCTAATATTTTACAGGATCACTTTTGAATATTCAATGTATAAATATACAAAATTAGAAAAAAATTACTTTATTAATAAACTAAAAAATTGACATTTTATCTAAAAGTTTCCACAACTGATTACTAGGACCAATTCGCCCTATGCTATTTCATATAAAATATTTTTTTATAACTAAATAATTTTTCATAGGCCTCTAATATTTAACAGATTCACTCTTTTTCTTTTTTAAAAAATATTTTCGTAATTTTGGACTAAAAATTCAAAATATTACCCAGGCTAAGCACAGTCTAAGCGCCACTCTGGTACAAATGTGTTACCCGAGTGCGTTTAGACTGTTTAAGTACAGGAACACTTTTTCAATTTTGTGAAAACTATTGAAAAATGCGATAATGCCGTCAAGCTAAGCACAGTATAGGTGAAAATGTCGCACAGAATTATTTGCAAATGCGTTTAGACTGTGACTATATAGGAGCACTTTTTCAACTTTGTGTAAATTGGGCAACTATTTTTTTAGAATGAAATTGAATTCGAAATAAAATGACGATTATTAAGGGATAAATTGATTTATGATTTTCATTTGATTTGCTCAGATATAACAAAAGATAGCAAAAATAATAAAAGTTACAGTATTTATAATAATATATTTTGAAAACGTTTAAAATTTCTCGAATATTTCATTACGGTACAAGAAGTTCCAGCAATTTGCCTTAAGGCACGATGCCATACACGACTAGTTATTTATTATCTTACCTGTTCTGCACTTTGTTCCTCGATAACCAATTTAACCTGCAGACTTTGTCTGGTTTCCAAAAATGCTCTTCTTTGCTGAGCGTCTTCTAAAAAGTAGGACATTAGGCCGAACACGTTTGCTGCCAGCAGCAATATACAATTTGCCAAATGCTGGAGGAAAAGATAAAAAAAAATTAATAACATGAACAAAACAAAATTGAAGTAAGTTGATGGATGTTTTGACACGTTTTGATTTGAGTGAAAAACTATGGATTAAACTAGAAATGTATCCAACTTTGTTGTCGGAAATGTGAGATATTATTCCAAAGTCGCGTAGAAACTTTATATTTTTAATTTGAACATTTTTGTAGAAGCGTAATTTGAATAAAGCAATGGACGGTGGCTAATACGTCAAATGTCAAACGTTTCTGACAGATGATGTTCAATTGCGTCTAATGGGATGTTTTACGTGGATATTATTTAATTATGTTTAAATTGTAGTAAGTAGTTTTGTTCGTAGTTATATTAATATACAAAAACGTTCTGACGTAAACAAATTGACGGCTTGAAATATATTTTAAAAATATAAAGCGTTGTAATACAGTTATGAAATTATAGTATATTATTTCCTAATATGTGTACTGAATTATAAAAAATTTAAAATCAAATATGTTTCTTACAGAAAACACTAAAAATTGCAATACACTTGAATACTCTATTTTTATTAGTTGCGAAACGACGGTTGGATATAATATGAGAAGTACTTTAGAAAAATGTTTTAAAAATATACAATATTATACTAGAGCTATAAAATTTTAGTATGTTATTACCTAATATATGTACTTAATTATAAATATATAAACTCACATACGTTTCTAACAAAAAAAGCTATAAATGTGCAATTTTGTAAACAAATGCACTCTTGCATACTCTATTTTTATCAGTTGCGAAACGACGGTTGGACATGATATGAGAAGTACTTTTGAAAAATGTTCTAAAAATATGCAATATTATACTAGAGCTATAAAATTTTAGTATGTTATTTTTTAATATGTGTACTAAATAATAAAAATATAAAATGACATATGTTTCCAACAAAAAAAGCTATAAATGTGCAATTTTGTAACAAATACACTCTTGCATATCTAATTTCCAATAGTTTTAATATTTAAAAATATAAAACGTTATACTAGAGTTACAAAATTTTAGTATGTTAATTCTTAATATGTGTACTAAATTATAAAAATATAAAATCACACATGTTTCTCACAAAAACAGCTATAAATTTGCAATTCAGTAAAATCATGTAATAGGACCGCAAGTATTACTAGAAAATCAAAATATCAACTTTTTTGAAATGTTAATATAAAAATGCACTTTTTGGTGTTGTAGCATTCTTCTTTACAAATCATATTTTTCTCAAACACGATGCTCTGAAAGATCTCATTTGTATACTCATTGTTATTTATAAAACATTTTGGAACCTAAATTTGGTATCGATCAAATAGGAATTTTGTCGTCAAATGTTGACCATTGTTTTACATCAAAGGTTATAAAAATCTGTTTACCTGTTCTATGAAGTTTCTGTCACTTTTGCTAAGTCCAACTAAGGCTACAATGTATGATGCACAAGTTCCTAGACTCAGCATTACACAATATCTTAGCCTAAAAAATAAAACCACACATTAGTAAAGTTAAACAATTGAAATTAATTAACACCCAAAAAATATGTAAACAATCAATTTAAAAAAAATAAAAATTATAAATTTATATTAAAAATATATGTAAAATTTTATTTGATATTTGAGTGAGTATCTATGTACCTTTTGTCATATTTATATAACTGCAAAATTTGAGTTATTAATAAAATGTACTGAAATGAATTAAAACAGATTTAAGGGGTCGATCTTATAAAATACGTATAGTTGAATTGAAAAATGCTTTCTAAATTTATAGATTTTTAAATTGTTTTTAAATTCTTGTTAATTTAATTTTCTAAATTAAAATCAACGCATATGACTAACTTGTTAACTTTATTGTAATTTTTTTTTATTTAAATATGTAGAAAACTTCTGATAAAATGTATAATTTAAATTTACTATAAATGTTTAATATAAAAGCACAAAACAAAAATAATTGCACAAAATCTACAAAATTATCTTTTTTTCCATTAGTTTTAATTTTAAAGAAAATTTGTGTATATAAATAATATATATATATATATATATATATATATATATATTTAATATCCATATTAAGGACCACTTGATTTTATATATATATAAATATTATATATATATATATATATATATATATAAAATCAAGTGGTCCTTAATATGGATATTTCAGAATTTCTCTGCTCCCAGAGACTCAAATGCTAAATATCAGAAAGTTTCAGCTCTAAATATTGACTTTAAGTAAGTCATTAAAAAATATTCTTAATAGATATCCATATGTTTCAATTCTCAATTTCACCCTTCTTCAGTAAATAAAATTAAAAAGTTATATATAAAATAATACAAAAATATATTTTAATCACATAATAAAAACAAAAATATTAAAAATTAAGGTAAAAAGTAAAAAAATATCAAGGCTATCTTGAATCATTGTATAGTGTTTATGTTGTTTATTTTATGATTAATTTAAATTATATTATTTTTTATATGATTTTTTATAATTATTGAGTCAGATTGAGACTCAAAACGTTTGTTTTCACTCAAATAGTCCAAACCAAAAAAAATTTAGCTACATATTTTGTACGTTTCGTCACTGTATGTGTATTATCATCGAGAAAATTCATACCAGAAACAATAGACACCAAAATAAGACATAGCTTTGTAAAAAAATAAGGAAGAAAAACTTTGAAATGAAAATAAAAAATTAAAAATCAATAGAAAAATATGTAGTTAGTCACGTGATTCATTAAACAAACAATTATATTTTTTGTTAAATTTAATTTTTCATAATTTTAATTTGCAATTTTTTAATCACGTGACTTAATACATAATTTTATTTTAATATCTTTATTTTATCAAAATTTACCACCAAACCACCAAATTTCATCAATCATCCTGCATGGTAAACTTTTGGATCTAATAATGCAAAAATCAAAACAACTCCTGGAGGAAATAATCCTCCTGCATAATTCTAAGACTTTGTTTATCATTTCTAATTATTACCTTAAGGGTAAGGTTACATAGACCAAATACACAAGCAAAAGGGCCCATCCTAAAGAATCCCTGGCTGTGACATCATCTGACCCCAAGTAACTCCTTACAAACAGATGTAGCAAAAGTTGAGCATTGAACAAATGCCAAGCAAAATGTGGGGCCAGTTGCCAAATCGGATGACATTTGGCAGATGTAAATCCTAAAAAACAATAAATATAATAGTCAGTAATGTAAAGGAAACAGAAAGTGTTCGTAGAAAAAAGAATTAAAATTGTCAGTTAATTGTAGAAAGTGAAAGGACTGAGTTTGGTATGGTGAAGGAGGTTGAGAGGTGATTCTACAGTTTTTGGTTAAAATATTTGGTGAAAAATATATTGGTTAGTTTGGGGACATTTTTTGACACTCTGTTAAATAACATGGAAATTTTATTTTACACATATAAATTTATTTACATTAGAAAAAGCTAGATAAAATTTATCAAAATTTGGCATAAATTATTATATACACTTACATATTGATATTTTGAATAAAACTAGTCGGAACGCAGACTTAAGTATTTTGATAATTGTTGTTGCAGAATTTTTTTGGTATCCAAGTTCTTGACATTTTTTTGTTTTAAAATACATATTGCAAATATTTAAGACTTGTTGCAGAATTAAAGCACAAACAGTGTTGATGCAACTTTATTTTTTTATTTTTTAACTTCCCGTAGGGTAAGTTATTGTAATGGACCGAAAACCGAAATTGAAAATTTGTACATTTCTCGACGTTTTGAAGGTTTCTGAACATTTCACAACACCTCAGAAAAAATGGATGTGTGTGTGTATGTGTGTGTGTATGTGTGTGTGTGTGTGTGTGTGTGTGTGTGAGTGTGTATGTATGTATGTATGGATACAAATTTCCAGTCTCGTTTTCGGGCGCAGGAATCAACCGATTTGAATGGTTCAAAAAACATTCGATTCCTATTGATAAGGAAAAGAGCTGATTAGTTTTTGGCAAAGGCAGGTCCAGCCGGTTCGGAGATACGGAGCAAAGAGTGCAAAAAATAGAAATCGACTTTTTAAGAGAACGGAGCATCCGATTTGAATTATATAAAAAAACATTCAATTAGTAATGATTGGGAGAAGTGTTTATCAGATTTTGGCAAAGGCAGGCCCAGCCATTTCGAAGATACGGAGCTAAATATGTAAAAAATGGCAGTTTTTGAGAGAACTAAGCATCCGATTTAAATGATACAAAGAACTTTTTGCTTGTCTTAACAAAATAATTGATTTTGGAGAAATTTTTTTTTTGTTTCAACTTTTTTTTCAATTTTTCTTCTTCAAATTTTTTTTTGTATATCGAAAATAATTCAGATTTTAATCGTAATTCTGACTAAAGTTTTAATATACTTTGAACAATTAATTTCAACTTTGCAATTCAGTTCATATAATTTTTATAAATATTAGACAATGATACAAAATTAATAATAATCTATTTCAAAACATTCAGTATTCCTCGAACATTTTGTTACGGTACGGGAAGTTCCAGCAATTTGCCTTAATGCACAATGCCACACACAACTAGTTTTGTTTTGAAATACATGTCGTAAATATTTAGGACTTGTTGGATAAATAAAGTACAAACAGTGCTGGTGCAACTTTTGATGGTTTTGATGGATTCTTCGGGTATATATGTGCTTTTTAAAATTATTATAGTTCTAATAAATTAGTCTGTATTATTTCAAGTATTTTAATATAATTTTAGAGAACTTACCAATCCTACACCAGACCAAGGCTATTACAGCTAATCCTAAACAAACTCCACTGACTATATAAGCTACTAAATGTTGTCCTGGAAAGAAAATTAAAATTCAAGACAAAATAATAGGTTGTCAAATATCTCTCTTCCGCCTTTTTGTATTATAAACCAAGAGCAAAAAAGCGGAAGGGAGATATTTGACAACCTAAGTTGTCAAACTCAATAAACTTATATTATTGTAGCAATAGTGTAATCATTTGCAGTCCAAACCATTACAAAACCAATTAAAATTGACACCAGAAAACAAGTTGGTCATTACCTTAGTCAGTGTTTCTGGTAAATTTAGACAAAAACCAAATTTTAGACAAAAACTTGCTATTTACAGACTCAACATGGCACGACCAACGTCTAGAACAATATTTAAAAAAAAACAATAAAATTCCGAACCAAACCAAAAATTTGTTCAAAATTGGACTTTCTGCTAAATATACTCAAAAATCTTTTACCTAAGGGTACTATCAGGGTATAAAGATCGAACAAAATCGCCCCCAGCAAAAAACACTGTAAACCAGTCCTCTTCTGGTTAGAACTATGAGATCTATATAGTTTTTCCAGAGCCGGATCAGTAAACGTCCATTCGGTGGCGCCTGGTACTTCTGTTGCCATTTTTACCACTTTTTACCACAAGGACCACTAAATTTTTTTTAACTGACACATAGTTTGATGACACATTTTTATATTTTTTTTTAAATCAATATAAAAACTACATTCTAGTGCAACAATCTATGAAGTTTTGAGCACAAATTTAAAAATTTAATTTTAATTTCCAAAAATTCTAAATAAAATTTATCACAAAGGAAATTTACACTAAAAATATTAATTAAGATTTAATTTGTTGCTTTAAAGTTTTTGTGCACAATTTTTGTAAAAATCACAATTATTTGCAAAAAGTAAGCTAAATGCACAAACTTTTATTAAATTTTCAAGTTTAAATCTTGTCGTGGGGGTTGAAATTGGTGAAAATACAGATTTTGTTGAAATTGGTTGGAGTTTTGGGATTTTTTGGCTAAATTTTGCTGTATTATGATGTACCTATTTATATATTAAAAGCAAAAGTTTAAATATTCAAATCCTGCATTGTTTTTGATAATTTTATAAACATTTATTGTAATCACGATTTTTGGATGATTTTCACTCGTATTTTTGGTATTTTTTAAATTTAGGGATTGTCTTAGGTGTTAATATTGAGTTTTAGAAACAATTTTGATAAAAACAATTTATTTTAATTTTTTAAATTATGTAAAATATATTTTTTAAATATTTTTCAATTCTTTATATATATTAATTTTTTTTAATATTTTTTCTGTATATATTTTTCAAAAATAAACAAAATATTAAATTATTTAATTTTAAAATTATATTATTTTAAATAATACACTTTAAGCATTTTACGTTGAATTTTTTGTATAAATAATAAATTAAAATTTTAACGTCAGTTTTCAGTTTTAAAGTACAATTTTATAAATTTCCTATTTTTTTATTAATTTAACTGAACTTTTGATACAGCCAAATTTTTGTTCACTTTTATTTAATAAATAATTTTATCACAAATTTTGGTAAATACTTTTTTTACCAAAGTACTTTTAACTCTTCGTGACAAGTTTGTGCAAAACTTTAAATTAAAAATTGTTAAAATAATTTTTATTCAAATTTTATTATTTTATCTTAACAAAAACAATCTGATGAAACAATCTATAAAGTTTTCAACACGAATTTTCATGTCCAACTATTTTATTTTAATTTTCAAAAATTATTATTCAATAATAATTCACTCAATAATTATTCAGGGTTTAATTTGTTACTTCAAAGATTTTGTGCACAATTTTTATAAAAATCATAATTTTTTTAAGAAAGTAAATTAAATTCACTGTATTTTTTACTTGATAATTTTATATAATTTTTGCAGTTATTTTTAAGACAAATTTATAATATTTATCACAAATTAAGAAAAATATTTACTTACATCTTATGGTACTCAAATTTATCCAAAAAAAGAAACAAAAGTTTGTGAAAATTGAATCACAACAACTTTATTTTAACACGATTATTGTTTGACACTTCTTTTTGTAAATTACTGTATTTTTTAGTTGATAAATATATATAATTTTTGCAGTTTTTGAAAGCCAAATTTGTAATATTTATTAAAATTTTTAAAAAATAATTGTCCACATTTTTAGTTACTTAAATTTATCCAACAGAGAAAAACAAATTTGTCTAAATTAAATCACAACAATTTTTTTAAACACAATTTTTGTTTTACACTTGTTTCTTTAAAGTATTGCAATTTTCGCAGTTTTTTGTATTAAATTTTTATTTTTTCAAAAAAATCGTATCCACTCTAGTTATATGCTCACATTTTTTTCAAACAATTTTTTTCACCAATTTAAATTTAAATCCTAAAAATCACCATTTTTCATTTCATTTAACTTTTACCCCTTCGGGTTACAATTTTTATATTTACTTTTCATCTCGTCCCAATTTTTTTAAAAACAATATTCATTTCCACAAACAAAAATTAAATTTCTCATATTTTTCTGTCAGGTCTCTAATTTTTTTTCACCACTTCAATCGATGTAGATGATTTCTTTTGATGTGTTCAGGAATTGCCTATAAAATAAGTAATTTGGAGTTTTATATATATTTTATGACTATTTCAAATGCGGTAGGTCTAAGTCAAGGATGTATATATATATATATATATATATATACAAGTATTTATACATATTTCTGTTATAATTTGATAAGAAACACAAGTGTTTCCCTTATCAGAGTCAATGAAAGAAATATAAATATTGTTCTTTGAATACTATCAATGCCAAAGGCGTTTTTTTATCAAAATTTTTTTGTTTAATTAAAACAAACACGAGTAAAAAATTGGCGAAAAATTTTGTAACACGTGTATAATGTAATAGACACATTTGTAAATCATATAATAAAAATATAAATAAATTTGTATATTGTTTATAATAAATATTTGAAAATTGCTTGGGTAAAATTGTTTGAATATTTTTTTGTTTTTCTTATAAAATTGTATTAGCAATTTTAATTGATTTCTTGTATATATATATGTATACATACATATATATATATATGTGTGTGTAGATACGTATATATGTATGTTTATATTATTTTAGAAATTTATTTAAAAAAGTTGTCAAGTATTCGATTAACTAACTTGTTGATATAAGTTAAATTCGTACTCAGAAATATTTGGCAACGTTTCTTTATAAATATATATATATACTAGCTGACCCGACAGACGTTGTTCTGTACCCACGTCTACAATTTTTTCAATATTTTATACTAATATTTACTCTTCGTTAAAAATAATAATTACTGTTTTTTGAATTACTATTTACACCAATATATGAGTGATGTTGAATGTAGAACTGTTTCAAATAAAATGATTGTTCTCAATTCCCACAGTTAACACTTTAATTATTCATTTGACAAATATTAAAAAATGTTCAATAAAATTGTATATTAAAAATTATACACTGCGATTTATAGAACAAATTTATTCCAAATAACTCAATTTATTTTATTGCATTTAAGGGTTATATAGTTATGTATAAATGAATGATTTTTTGTTTATTCACGACTAAAACATTGATTTTCCAAATTTATCACACTAAAAATGATCGTCTGCCTTTGTGATTTATGGTCATAGCATAAGATACACGTGTTGAAAATTGAAATCTTTTAAGAAGTACAACAAATTCAGAAAGAATTAATATATAGCATTCGCTGCAAAGGTGCAATATCACATTTTATTTTTCTACCCACAATAATTGCTTCAATAATGTTGCCTATAATTTATAATTTCGTACCATATTTCAACTGGCTTTTAGTAATTTTAATAGCTAAAGTACATTTTTTTTTCCAATAAATCAATATACATTATTGCTTAACTTTATATTTGAAGTGAATTAATTTGCCAAATCCTGTTCACATGTGCTCTATTCAACTTACGATCAACAAAATTATTGCTCTGTGAATTTTTTTCACTGTGCTCCAATTTACTTGATATTTTGGAAATAGGCTAATCTTATCTTAAGTTCAGAAATGAAATCAATTTGCACTCCGACACCATCCACCGCATTAATTGGATTATTACTCTATTAATTCTGATTTTATCAGAACTTGTAATACGCTATTTTAAGGTGATTAAATGAGCTACAACTTTCTCTATAATTAATTTTACCGTAACTTCTCTTATTGTGAAACGGCGAAGGGTTAATGGCTCGAAAGACCTGTGGTTGGACAGCCGTCCCTCCTTAATTAATCATACATCTATCAATATTTGTGTAACGGAAAAATAATAAGCAACAATAATTAGTCAGAAAAATACCTCGAATTTTCATATATATATACTTTTATACGTTTTCTTTCAGAGGTATTATGATGAGAAATTGGTTGTTTTTTTTTTTAAATGTTTTTTTCCATGAAATAATGAGTTTTTTGAGAATCATTCGTACTAAAGTTGTGGTATTTTCTAGAATCCATCAAGATCTATAAAACCAAGTTAATTCTAGACGGAATACGATTATTTTAATTTTGGTGGTTATGCACTCAACTATTTGATTTAAATGAAAAAAAAAAAACATTGTATGCGTCCTTTATCTGCATGATAGCTTACTCATTTTACACGCAGAAGTACTCATTTTAAAGCTTATTTTGAGCACTATAAAACCCATTTTCATATTTAGCCTAATAATGTTCCTAAAACACTATAAAATAGCGATTTATTAAGATTTAATTGATATAATTTTGTTTATTACATGATTTTCGTTAAAATGTATATTTTTGAAGATAGTAGCAAAAAATGATGAAAAACGCAAAAAAGAAACAAATTTTCAGTAGCCAGTAACTTGAAAAGTATTTGCTTTTTTGAAAAAACATTATTAAAAAATTTTTCTCTTATAATTAATTATTTTATCGATACCCAAAGTTATATTGAAAAAAGTAAAATTACACCACTGAAAAGAAATGTCATCCACCCGAGAAGTGGTAAAGGAGTCTAAATTGTTTTCACTTCTGAGGAGTAAGATGAACCTAGTTCCAAAATTCCAAACGAAATGGAAAACAGTGAAAAAAGTTCAGACCGAAAGCGCTCCATTGAGTAAATATTCCGTACGCAATGACAAACATATGAATTTTTGACACAATGAAACTTTTAAATAATTTTTTTTGTATTGTGACTTAGAATAGTAAGGCAAAACGACTTCAAATTGAATATTTTTGAGCGCAATCACTTATGGCTCTCTCCTTTGCACGAATTCGTACGGCGATTCTGTTCGCAAAGTGCGCAAACAAAATTATTGCAAGCAAAAGCAAACCATGCGCACGTCAGACGCATGCGCGAGACTGCATCACTTGTCAGATGCAAATAATATAATATTTGCATCTTATATTAATTTAATTTCTGGCACATCTCAGCTGCTTTTCGGCATTAATAATGTAGACATTACATTTTCCTTATTCATAATCATGAATTTATTATATTTTAATATTGCCTTCGCCTATAAGTGAATAGAAATGTTTGGCAAATGACAGTCTTCAATTGTTTTTTAATGTCAAACTAAGCTTCAAATATTTTCAAGGGC